GCTCAGCAGGACAGCGGACATAACATTCCCATGCCCAAGGTTCCACGTCGAGGTGGCCGCGGTGTTGACAACGGATGTGTCCTCCTCCTCGGTGTTTCGTCCCCAGCTCCAAGAAGATTGGTGTGGTTGCGAAGTGTTCTCCTGCCAAGACGACCAGTTGTCCCAGTTCTGCGACTCCGCATTAAAGTCATGCCAGCCTTGCTGTTGCCAATCGTGTGCCCACTGTTCACTTTGGGTGTGCTCCGCGACGGATTGGTCCTGTGTCCACTGCCAAGTGCTGTGGCCAGTCCACCCCTTCCACCCCCACTCATGGTCGTTCCAAGCCACCCAAGAGGAATCAGAGGAGGAAGAGGGCTGCTGCTCCACATCCTCCTTATCATCGTGGTCATCTTGATCAGGCTGGCCTGTGGCTCGTCGGTCACGAAGTTCTTTGTCACGGATGTAGTTTGCGAGCCATGCAGGTTTCCAGCGACCATCAAAGTACGCCTGCATTCTCTCCTTTTTTCGTCGTGTACGTACTTCTCCACAACCACCCCTATGTGCCTTCCCAGCGGCATCCTCCACAAGCAGAAGTGTATCACCCGTGCTCTGTTCCACCCCCGTTGCACCGAGAACTTGAAACCAGCCACCAGATGAAGGGGCGGCTGCATCTCCAGGGGTATGTGATGTGCCAGGTTGTTCATGTCCTTCCACTCCAGGTACTTGTGGTTCCTTACTGACCCCTTCATTGGGTTCCTCAGGCACAGATGGAAGTCCACCCCCACGAGCTTCCGCCTCCAATCTTTCCAGGAGTCGCGACCTGACTGTCCCATCTGCATTGTGCCAGCGGTCCCTGCCAGCTCGTCGTTGTCCGAAGCGCTTGGTGATTCCCTCCTCATGCAGCTCGTCCCCTGTCTGTCCAAGTTGGGTTGTGCACGAAGGTCTTCCGCGGAGGCGTCTCGTGTCGATCACCTGCTTCAGCCAGTCGTTGCTCCCCGATCCAGAAGCCGCTGAGGATTGAGCTGGTCCATCATCTTGGGGAGGCTGCCACGGTGTCCACGTCGGGTAGAAGCTCTGTGAGGTCTCATCCAAGACATCCATGGTCGAACTCCCCGGTGCCAACCCTTCATCCCCTTCGTCAGCTTCCTTGTCAGGTTCCCTACGTGTGTGCCCTATGGTTGCCGTAGGCGGAGATGTCATAGGGGTAATCCTGGAGGAAGAGGAGGTCGCCTGCCATGGTGAGGTGAATGTCGTCGGATCCACTGGTGTCGCCAAAGACGAAGAAGAGGACGCACTCCAGGTAGTCGCCGGTGCCGCTGGTGTTGCCGAAGACGAAGAAGAAGATGCACTCCACGTAGATGCCGTCGCAAGCACTGATTGCGGGACTAATTCCGGGTCAGGGGCCTCCTGCATCATCGTCGCTCCCAGTTCAAAGGCCTCAACTTCATCCTGTTGAAGCCCCAACGAAATCTCTTCGCCCCAAGCCGACGTACTCGCAAACTCCCCCTGGTTGAAGTCCAGTGTTGTCCCTGGGTTGGGTAACGCCGATGAGGAGTCCGACGGAACTCCCATAGGTGGTGGATTCAAAGTGTCACCCTGGTCCAAGGCAGTCTCGTCGTCCCACGCTGATCTCCATTGTCCCCCAATCTGAGTCAGAGGCAGGCTTGGAGGTGGACCGGAGGAGGAAGAGGCTTGCGTATCCATGACATCACCCTCATCCCATGCTGACGCCATATGCATAACAACCTGATCGTAGCTCGGCACCACAGGTATGATGGGAGCGGGGCGACGGCGGGAGTGTGAACATTCGGGGTGATATCTGCATCGGCTGGTTCATTTTCTCCCCAACGATGTTCCCACTGGTGACCAGGGTACTCGTCGTCCTTGCCGGTGGCATCCACGCCCATGAACTTCATCACGAAGAGGGCAAAGAGGATGGGCCACTGCAGCGCCATGTCGAGGAGTGCCCGAGAAGGGCAAAGGTCGAGGTAAGTGGGTTTCCAAAATCACCTCGAGCCAAGAAGCAAATTTTCCGTAAGTGGTGAACAACTGCTGCAGGCTGAAGCTGACATACATGTGAATCCCGACAGAACTTGTGCATGCAAGATCGAGTGGAAGTTCTTCATGAAACAGAAAGTGCGAGAAATCATATCACTGAGGTAGTCAAAGGTTGTGCGCTCCACAAATGAAGAAAGGAACAAGCAGAGCAGAGACAGGCATTTCAAGGACAGCAAGAGGGGCGAACTCGTCCATGTCTATCAGAGTGTCCCCCTTCATTCGACTGGACTATATCCACCGTTTCAAGCCTCAATCGCTAACTGTCTGCCTCTCGTCCAGTTGGGATCCCACCTGGACAAAAATTCCTCCCTTTCCCTGGCCCATCTGGATCGATCTAAAGCCACGAGATACCACTTTGCGCCGTGGACGTCGGCGAGTTGTCTTTCAAGGTTCGACACATGTACATGCCCACGATGCCTCATTCCCACTTTGGGGCTGAGTGCTTGCTGTCCTCTCCACCATTCTGTCGACCGAAAAGCCATGACACGCATAGGCAGAGAAGGGATGACGATGTTCGGGCCTAAGTGCTCCTCCCGTCTAGCCCAGTGACCCGAGAGGGCGTGCTGCAACCGGAGTATGGTGGTGCTCCACCTTGGGACATTGTGATAGGCCAACCACGCTCTGCAATCTCGCATTGTTCGGCTGTTCCACGTCGTCCATGTTTCATCCTTCTTCCGCCTCAGGTGAAAGATCCCCCTCATGATGTGGAGCTGGAGAACGTTTGCTGTTTTGAGGTCACTCCCCGACCAAAACACCGCCCCAGCAGTCCACTGGATCTGAGAAGTGACAAGGGTAGTCATCATCTGGATTTTCTTCACCCATGCAGCTCGACCCCGAAGAAGAGGACCATGCTTTTCTGCCGCACCACGGGCACGTCCCAAGAGTTCCTTGGCCTGTTGAGACGGGCTATCCTGTAGGTTGAACGCCAGTCCCAGCACCTTGACAGACTCGGTCGAAGCAGAGATCTTGAAGACGTCCTCCCCCACTTTGGCGCATCTCATCCCACGGTAAAACTCGCTTGCAATGATCTTGGTCTTCGCTGCTGAGAGCTGGAGTCCAATCTTGCGGCAGAGCTTCACGAAGTCACCCTCAAACAGGAATATATCATCTTGATAAAAGACCAGGTCAACTTCAAGGCCTCCCCCTGCACCCCCAAAGTTCTTCCAACCTTTAGAGTTGAGCAAGCGAGTCAAGAGCGCATCCATAACGAGTCCGAAGATTTCGGCGCTTTCGGGAGCACCTTGTTTGATCCCGACGTTGGGAGACAAGCTGCTCCTGGGACTTTTCCTTCCAGGTCATAGGTTCTAAGCTGCGCCAAAAGAAAGCGAAGCTCGTGCGGCAGCTTGTCATTGCCCAGGTGTTCTTTGAGAAACTCCACAACCTTGAGGCGATCAAGTCTATCGAATGTCTAGCTTCCCAAGCAGCATGGGCAAGCGCCATTCTTGTACCACATCACGTACTCGAGAGACGCAGCCAATGACGTCGGCTGCCTGTCGTCCTTTGCCACACCCAGAGCACTTCGATCCAGTCCGAAGCAAAGGCATTGTCCTAGAACAGACCAGTTTAGTCACCATTTTGTGAAAGACACTGCTGACACAAATCGGACGGAGATCTTTTGCTTGACGTGGATGCTCGACCTTAGCAAGCAAAGCCAAGAAGTTATCCTTCCATCTCGCTGGTAAGTCAACATTTTCAACGATCCCATTGATGAGGTCCACCATTTGCTGCCCAAGTTGTTCATGTCCCGCAGTTTCCTTCAACAGTGAGACGCTAATGCCATCGGGTCCAACCGCTCCAGATGCCTTCATGTCCTGCTGCACTTCACGTACATCCATGATCGAGAATGGCTGAAAAACGTCACCCAGGTGAACATTGTTGATACGCTGGTCCAGAAGGTCATCCCAGTCTGGCATGGTTTTGTCAACCATTTTGTTCTCAAGATGCTGCTTGACCTCCTTGGTGAGTTCTCTTGAGCTGCGTTCACACAAGAGTCCTCCCCACCATCCACGTCGTCGTTGTTGTTGACGTTGTCGCTCTCGGTATTGCGCCCAATCACCATTGAGAATGGAGGTCACTCGCTCCTCCTGCCATTGTTTCCTCTTCTGTCGGCGAATCTTGTGCGCCTTTTTCCAGAGTGCATTGCTGATCCCTGTCTCCTTAGCTTCCCGAAATGCGGCTCGAACTTCTTCGTCGTCCTTGTAGGCTTTCGCATACCTCGGAGCTGTGCATGTTCGAGACAGTCGTTCCAAGTCCTCTGCACTCACGATCTCGGTTGCAGGCAGGTCTCTGGTGACCCATCTCGGTCTGGAGTCATTTCCCCAACGTAGAGTGTGCTTGCCCTCAACGAAGATGTCGGCCCAAAGAATTGCATGATCACTGCCAATTAGATGTCTCCGGTTCGGCTCGATGGTGACTCGTCCCACTTTCATTTGCCTTTTCCAGATCATGTCGATCTGTCGTCCGGCTCTTGTCTCGTCCCTTGGGAAATGGGTCGGAAGGCTGACAAAGTCATTCCCAGGGACACAGGGCAGGAGCCCCATCTTGGTGGCTGAGTCAAACTAGTACATTGAAGTTCGAGCTCCCAGAGGCAAGGCAGTCCACTCCATGTTCCTCTTCCTCACCCAAGCAGTTCCAGGTGGGGACCTCGTTCGCATCCAGTCCACAGAGAAGTGGATATTGCCTCCAGGTTGCTGGGCAAGAGTTGAAGAACTCCAGTGTAGCCGCCTGATACTTCGCGTTGGACACCCCAGTTAGACAGTGAAGGGACCCAAGGACAACTCTGCCAATGCCAACCAAACGCGCCAGAATCCATACTCCCCGCTTTGTCGGGACCTTGTTGATGATGCAATCAAATTTGTCGATGGAGATGCCCACGCCAATGCCTCGCCAAGTCTCGCCATCCTGAAAAGAAGTCCAGTGAAAGTAGTCACCCTCATCCGCGTGCCACCCTGGCTCAGCACGAGAAATTTCCTGTACAAAGATAATGTCCATGTCAATGGCCGCCACGTCAAGCAAATTTACCCCCTGGCCACCCAAATTCCATTGCGCAACTCGCCCCCACCTATGTGTTCGACACCGGAGAGGACGAGAATCCAGACACACCCTCCGAGAAGTAGCCTTGAGCGAGCTTCCCTGGGGGGCAACATCACCCCGCTGTGTGGTAGTCTCAGGAGTGAAACATGGCCCGTCCTCCTCTCACAGTTCCAACTCAAATGCATCCTGGACCACATCGACTGTACACCCTGCCACAACGGAGACCGCGTCCAAGTTAACCCAGCCCCCTGTCATCGTAACGACTTCGGCATCTCTAGGCGCTCTGTGCGTAGACGACCCAAGCTTGTGCACGCCGCACCACAAGGTGCCTGCTCCCCAATCCATATCGTAGGAGGTGGTGAGCGTGTGGTCAATGTTCAGGACACCACCGCCGTCATCTTTGACGTCAGACGCGAGAGCAATCGCAATCCGTCGGATCATGCTGATGTGGGCTGTCCTGCTCCGGGCGGTTCTTGTCTTGACAAAGGAGGCCCATGCCGTCTTCTCCTCCCCCATATTTCTCGTGCTGGGGAAAACTATCTTGGCTTGGGCGACCAGACGAACAACTTTCCACATTCTCTCCCGAACCGCTCTCATATCTTCCCCTTCCCTCTCGACGAACTTCACCATGCCAACGCTGCGCCTTGGGCCAAAGACCGAGACCTTATCCACGTCTAAAAGACTCGCCACTTCACCAATCCTGAAAACCTCCTCCGCCTCAGCCTCAATAACAGCTCGCCGAGTGTCTTGTAACCACCCACCAATGATAAGGGTCCTCTGATCGTCAGCAGAGAGAACATCAGGATCCGATTTGGTCGCAATCGTTGCAGCACCATGCACCACCTCACCCCCTGGAACACTGGCACCGCCTCGAGGGACTTGTTGACCATTTCGCTTCCTCAAATAGTCACCCCAGGGATCAGGTTGTGCTGGTAGGTCTCGGTTGATGCCCTTGTCTCTCGGCATGGCTTGGACATCATCACCCCGCTTGACCTCCTCCAAGGCAACTTTCATTTTCTTTACATCTTCCGCAAGTGCATCAAGGCGAGGTTGCATCTGATCCTGGTTCTTTTTCAAACCCATCACATCTTTCTCAGTAACTTTGATCCTCCCCGCCATGGATGCCAGCTCTCCCACCTGTTTCTTCTGCTGCTGTTCAACTCCTCCAAGGCGAGATTCAAAACTACCCCAAGCATCCTTAAGTTCCTGTGCGTGAAGGTGCAGTAGCTGACGAAGTTCGCTTCCTGATACAGGTCGGTCATCTGGTCGGACTTCTCCCGGAGGCGGTGCTCGCTTGGAAGGGCTCTCCACTTCAGCATCATCCCGACCACCCACAGCACCAGCTCCTCCTCGAATTCTCTTCCTGCGATCCGGGTTGGGTCCGACGTCCTCCTTGGGTTCTGACTTCGCCACATCTCTATCCACATCCATGTCCGTCTCACCCTCTTCAGCAACCTCCGTGGGGGAGCCCAGGTCATCGTCATCCTCGATGTCGATTGGCTGTGTCGGGGCCTCATCTGGCTTGGCGGCAGCCATCCCAAGCAATTCGCCCCGTGAGTTTTGAGACGAGCACGCCCACGTCAAGACACCCCAGCTTCCCACCACCAGGGCTGATCAGTGAGCCACCCACAGCGCGCAAGGGGGTAGAAGACGTAGAGGAAGTGGCCGCCCGGTTCGCGAGGTCACCCTCAAGGACTTAGCACAAGGAGGTAAAAGAGGACGTTGAACTGGCCGCCACGAGGGAGGGTCAACGACAGGGAAAAGGGACAGGAGCTTCAATTTGGGCCGATATCTTGAGAGGGTTTAGGGTTTAGGGTTTAGGGGAAAAGTTAAAGGAAACATGTTATTTTGCCCCAAACGCTGT